CCAAGCCCTAATAATGGATATTGGAGTGGCATGTTCAGTACTACAGGAGGAGGATCTTCATGGTGAAGCAAAATGATCAAAAGGAGATTACGAAAATTAGCTTTTCTAATTCTCTTTCATGGTCTTTTTGCCCTCACATGGGGTACTTTAGTTAAAGTTGTCAGAACTTAGCTAACACAACATAGTCTTTTTTATTCTCCTTATTTTTTTTGGGTTTTTTTTTAATTTTATTTTGTTTAAATCAATATTTATTTTTTATATGTTCTATAATTGGGTTTGGATGGTAATTTGGGTTGGCATTTTCACTTTGGTTTGCTGGTTGATTAGTATATATAGAGGATAACGGAGTTATGTATGTATGGGTAGAAGAATATGTGAATACGAATCTCTCGACTGTTACATTACATGCATGATATGTATTCATCGTTTCTTCTATCTAGTATAAGTGTTCTCATAAAACATTATTCATATCATATCTATTCCCTCGATTTAGAAGTTTCTTGATTTCTTCTGTATCATTTTTAGTTTAAAGTATCATGAATCATAGCACAAAGAAAAGAAACCAGGTAGTCTGCATGTCGACTGGGCTCTGTTTAATCAAACTCGGCCCAACAATTAATTTATTAATCATTTACAGAATCTTGTTTTAATTACTTGAATTCTCCTTTTTTTTCTTTCTTTTAGGTGCAAAGCTATTGTACTTGAATTCTCTTTCTACCTAAACTCGTAATAGACACATCACAAATTCAGCAAGAAGAAATTACCGTTACGTCAAATCAGATAGGACTTGGACGGAGAAAGAGAAAAATATTATAAATTACCTGTCTTTATTATTGTAAGAGAATCCAATTCAAAAAGATATAACACTAGTAAAACAAAATACAACGAAAAAATCGAAAGATCATACAAAAGAAATCAAGAAAACGAAACTTCTCCGAAACTTACCAATCTCTTCTCTTTTGATTAAAAAAAAATATTATGCATAATATAAAGGAGTCGGAATACGTCGTGTTCACGGCCCATTAGAAGTTTCCACGAAACTACCTAATAATCTTATGCTTCCGTACACACCAAAACGCATCATCTCAAAAACGAATCGGAACCGTTCAATTACTTCAACTCTCAGAGAATCCAACGATAATGGTCCAAGAAAAGAGTTTTATCTATCATATAGACCACACGATTAGGTTCCCTAACGTGACAAGCACATCGGTGGTATAGATACGCCACTCACTTATAAAAATCAATCAAATTATTGGATTAATCAACTTCTCAAAATCTCTCATTTCTCTCTCTGCTTCAACGTGTTTTTTTTTTTTTTTTCTATAATGGAACCAGTACCAAGCAAGAATTCTATTGTGCTAGAA